GACTCGACCCACAGGGAGAGTGCGTGCGCTGCGACGGACCCAGCCGGCACCGGCAGTGCGGACACAGTGCGAGACTGCGAGTCGTGCGATGACTACCGACGCACAAGCACACCACGCGACGTAGTCTGCAACACCGCGCGGCTGGACACCACACACTTCACCGGCAGGACTCACTGGGTCGGACGCACGCGCCGGTGCAGCGGAACCGAAGATACCGAGAAGCCCGCCCGAAGCCCCGAACCATGTGCTGTGGTCGCTGCCACGCCAACCGCGCGGCCGGCCCGGGCGCAGGCCGTGACGACTGATCGCGGCGGCAGCGCCGCGCGCCCTCGTGCAGCGGTGCGCGCCGCTCGCGCCGCGCCAAGGGAGGTCTTCAGCCTGCGGCACGCTCGCCCGCAGCGCTGCCGGGCGTGCCCATCAAAATGCGCCGCCGCTGGACGTCTCCGCCGCCTCCAAGGCGACCGACGCCACGAGTCGTATGCGTGACGCCACCGTGAGACGTCTGGACGGCTCGCTGCGACCTCAAGGCCAGCCTCGCCGCCCGCCGTGAGCGCCAAAAAAGCGTCAACCGCGCAACCGCGCAACCGAGAGAGAGCGACTGAGACGCTTCAGCGACCCGCCAGGAGCCGGGCCGAGGCCTGTCCGAAGCCGCATGCCGCTCGAGTCGGTCGCCCGGGGCACCCTGGGAGGCGCCCGTCGAAGCCAAAGCTGTGCTGGGGACACGGCCGGATCAGCCTCGTACCTTTTTGCGCAAATGGTCAAATCAAGGTTTTGTAACGCGAGCTGTGTCACAGTGAAATGGCACTAGCCTCGGTTATTTCTCTCGTCGGCGCAACAACTCACCTTCTCTGCTCTCATTCATAGCACAGACCGACGCGCGATCAGAGCTTAGACCCCATCTCGGTCGTCAGCGTTGTACAGACGCACCCCAATCGTCGTCGCGTTGATAGTGAAGTAGCAGTGGCGGATGCCCGTCCGGATCATCTTCGCCTCGCAGCGATCGCACGGCATCGCATTCAGAATCTTTCGCCGTCCAGCCGGCGTGGCGGAAGGTGCGGCCGCACCTTCGGCCGGAGGCGCTGTCGGCGCCTGAGTGGAGGGAGGAGGAGTGAGGAGGCGTTCAGCCGCCGGGCGCGGCGAGGCGGAGCACTCACCAAGCGCGCGATGAACATGTCCTTGCCGGCGGGGCGAGGGCAGCCTTTGAGGACGCTCATCTCGGCATGGATGTTGTCTCGCAGGAAGGGCTTCTTGTTCGAGCCCGACTTGAGCGGCACGTGGTCGTCGCCGGCGATCAGCAGCGCACCGTACCGGTACTTCCTCCCGTGAATCGTCGCAGCCTGATCGACAGCGATCTGGAGCGCCTCGTAGAGCCCGTCGTCGTTGGCGGCGTTCGGCGCGGGGATCTGCCACTCGCGGTATGGAGGAGAGGGAGCCGCGCCAGCCTCGGCAGAGGGAGCGCCGCTCGCATTGATCGCAAACGCTGCTACAGGTACCGCAGGCGCTGCAGGCTCATCGTGTGTGGCCGCCGAGCAAGCAGAAGCCTGTGTGCGTGCGCACTTGTTGCTCGGGGCTTCAGGCACCGCAGCGCCGCTCGCCTTGGCCCGTTTCCTCTCCCGGCGCTGCGCTGCCCGAGAGCCTCCCGGCATCCAGTGCGGGTTGAATGCTGCAAGAGCCGCTGCAAGTAGAGCTCTACACGAGACGATGCAGGATTTGGATTACAGCAGGGGTGGGAGTGAAAATTTACTGCGTGCACGGAAGGTCAGCCAACTCGGACGGCTGGCGTTCGAGATCTGTGTCTTTGCTAAAAAACAAATAATTTTCCTTTTATCTACATGGCGGCGGTGACGGGCGACGCCGAAAACATCAACAAGCAGGCGCGCAAGATGCGCACCAACTGGGTCACGAACAAGCAAACGGCGGACGGCTTCTTGCCGCGGTGGAGGGCGCCCGCACCGCCTAGCTCCGCGGACGGGCCCCTCCACCCTTCACGTACGGATCATGTAGTCCCCACACTCGCTGTCGTGGGATCGCTTGTCATGTGAGAGAAGCCTGT